AAGGGAGCGACCGAGGGAGCCACGCTCCCCCAAGGTGCTGGCTCTCCCACTTCTGCTCTCCGCCCGGCACCTTTGTATGCAAATTAACCCACCATCTTTGTTGGGTTAATTTGCATATTTACCCTGATTGGCTGGTGAGCATAGTGAAGGGATGGTCAATTTACATGTTCCTCTTTTATTATATAGGATAACAAAAGCCTAATATGCAAATTGTCCCCTCGACTGGGAGTTCGACCAGGAGTTTGACTGGTAGTTTGACCAGGGGGTGGGGCCTGCCGGCCAAATGCCCTTGGCCCCTCCCCCTGACTGGCCCTGCCCCAGCCTGTGGCGGCAGCAGGCATCCAGGGAAAGGGAGGCCCTGGCCAGCAGCCACTTAGGGACCCTACCCATGCATGAATTTCCTGCACTGGGCCTCTAGTATATAGATAATAGCATTTACCCAGATTGTATTGGAATGAACATATTTCTGCATTTTCCCTAGTAGAATGGACTCCTTGAGAACATGAATCATGTTTTATTCATTCTACTACCTCCTAGCATGTAACCAAATATTGGTAATTAAGACCCTATATCAGTGTTTATTAAATATCTACATTAATAAAAGACAAACATGCAAATTGACCGTACCTTCGCTACACCTTAAGCCATGCCCACCAGCCAATCAGAGCAACTATATGCAAATTAACCCAACAAAGATGGTGGCCGGCAGCCACGGAGCTGGAGCAAGCAGGAGTGGGTTGCCCCTGGAGATGGAGGAAGCCAAGCTTCCCTCCCAGCCACCCTGGCCGGCTCTGAGCTCCTCTCAAGGCTACAAAGTTTCAATTATGGAAGGTAAATAAATCCCAGAATAAAAAAAAAGAAAAAAAGGAGAGGCTGGGAGTTTCCGTTGCCGGGGGGGCTTGGTCAGCCTGAAGACAGCCATCAGCCCCTCACCCAGGCTGGCAAAACCTCCATGGGGTGAGGGTCCCCACTGGGGGGGGGGGGGCTTGACCAGCCTGCAAACAGCCATCAGCCCCTCACCCAGGCTGGCCAAACACCCCAGCAGGACTCCCACCCTGATCCGGGACACCCTTCAGGGAAAACCAGCCGGCCCCCACCGGTGCACCAGGCCTCTATCCTATATAATAAAAGGGTAATATGCAAACTGACCCTAACAGCAGAACAACTGGGAATGACCGGTCACTATCACGCACACTGACCATCAGGGGGCAGACGCTCAATGCAGGAGCTGCCCCCTGGTGGTCAGTGCGCTCCCACAGGGGGAGCTCTGCTCAGCCACAAGCCAGGCTGATGGCTGCCAGTACAGTGGTGGTGGTGGGAGCCTCTCCCACCTCCTCAGCAGCGCTAAGGATGTCTGACTGCAGCTTAGGCGGGCTCCCCGCTGGCAAGTGGACATCCCCTGAGGGCTGCCGGGCTGCCAGAGGGATGTCTGACTGCCAGCTTGGGCCCGATCCCCCAGGGAGCAGGCCTAAGCCAGCAAGTGGACATCCTCCAAGGGGTCCCAGACTGCAAGAGGGCATAGGCCGGGCTGAGGAACCCCCTCCGAGTGCACAAATTTTTGTGCACCGGGCCTCTAGTTCCATTAATAATGTCATATCACAGCTCGTGGTTTTAGACTTTCCTTTCCAATTAATTATAACCCTCATGTTTGGATATATGTTAAAATCACCAGAATCTATAATATTTTAATAATTTGCCTTTGCTGCTGTTCTCGATAATAATAATTTTATATGTCCTGATTTAATCTTTACAGAAAGCACGCTTATCTACCAAGTAACCCATGACCAGCTCTGTGGATTGCTGGAGTACGCAGTCCAGGGCAGGTCCAGTGTTCCCACACCTAGATCTGAGGTGAACTTAAATAGTGGGGATAGAATGGAGGTTTCAAACCAGTGTCCAGTGGTCATATCTGCCTTGACTGACATTGTTTGCCATACAGAATTTCCTTAAAATATTTATGATAGCTGTCTACAGTTTTATTTAGGAATCTATATATAGAAAAGCCAAGCGACCAGAACAACGGAATGACCGGTCACTATGACATGCAGCCGGACCCCACCCGTGCACGAACTGTGCACCAGGCCTCTAGTTCCTTTATTAAAATTCAGAATTTTGACTTCATCAAAAACTCAGAGATCTGCAACTGTCCCTGTGTTTCCACACGGCAACAGTTTGTCACAGCTGAACAGCGGCCTCCTCCTTTGGATGGGGCATGTGCAAACTTCAGTGTCCCACCTGGCCAGCTTCCTGGTTGACAGTATCTGTCTGGCCGCGATAGGTATTTTGGCTTGTAACCCCCAGTGGAGACCCAGTTGAAATAACATGATCATAAACAAGTGTTGGCAAGAATGTGGAGAAAAGGGAACCCTCTTCTTGCACTGTTGATGGGATTACAAATCGGTGCAGCCTCTGTGGAAAAGACTATGGAGGTTCCTCAAAAAACAGTTAAAAATGAACTATCATATAATCGCAGCCGACACCGCAGAGACCCCATGGTGCATATTGTGGCCCACAGCCCAGCCCAGCCAGGCCACTTCTGGGTATTTATCTGAAAAAAGTTAAACAATAATTTGAAAAGATATTTGTACCTCAGTATTATTTACAAGAACCAAGATAGGGAAGCAGCCCAGGTGTCCATCAGTGGATCAATGATTTAAAAACATATGATGCATATGTATACAATAGAACATTATGCTGCCAAAAAAGGGAAGGATATCTTGCCATTTCCAAGATGGATGGACCTAGAAGGCATTATGCTAAGTGAAATAAGTCAGAACGACAAATACTGTATGATCTCATTTATCTGTGGAATCTAAAGAACAAAATAAATGAACAAACAAAACAGACTTACAGATACAGAGAACAAACTGATAGTTGCCAGAGGGGAGGGGGCTTGGGGATGGGTGAAAAATGTGAAGGAATTAGAGGTACCAATTGGTAGTTACAAAATAGTCACGGGGATGTAAAGTACAGCCTACAGAATGTAATTAATAATACTGTAGTCCTAGCTGGCTTGGCTCAGTGGATAGAGCATCAGCCTGCAGACTGAAGGGTCCCAGGTTCAATCCCAGTCAAGGGCACATGCCCGAGTTGTGGGCTCAATCCCCAGTTGGGGGCGTGCAGGAGGCAGCCAATCAGTGATTCTCTCTCATCATTAATGTTTCTATCTCTTTCTCCCTTCCTCTCTGAAATCAATAAAAAAAATATTAAAATCAATAAAAAATAACTATTAAAAAATAATATTGTAATAACTATGTGTAGTGCCAGGTGGGTACTAGAATTATTGGGGGGATCACTCCATAAATTATATAAATATCTAACCACTATGGTTTTTTTTTTTTTTAATATAAAATAATATTGAATGTCAACTGTAATTGAAAATTTAAAAATTAAATTAAAAAAGAAAAAAGTGAAATAACATGATCATATGTTAAGAATCCCAATCTTTTTTTTTTTAAATATATTTTATGGATTTTTTACAGAGAGGAAGGAAGCGGGATAGAGAGTTAGAAACATCGATGAGAGAGAAACATCGATCAGCTGCCTCCTGCACATCTCCTACTGGGGATGTGCCCGCAACCAAGGTACATGCCCTTGACCGAATCGAACCTGGGACCCTTCAGTCCACAGGCCGATGCTCTATCCACTGAGCCAAACCGGTTTCGGCAAGAATCCCAATCTTTTTTCCTCCTTTTGCAAATAAAGTGCATAGAGAATTTACTCTTCTGATATCCTTAATGCCGTTACTAAATGTGTAATGAAGGTTACTTTTTTTAAAAAAAATTTGTTTTATTGCTTAAAGTATTACAAAGAGTATTATATATGTCTCCTTTTCCCCCCCCTTCTTGACATTCCCCCAGCTTCCCCTATCCCCCAGTGTCTTATGTCCATTGGTTATGCTTATATGCATACATACAAGTCCTTCAGTTGATCTCTTACCGCCCCCTCCTGCCCCCAAACCATCCCTGGCCTTCCCGCTGTAGTTTGACAGTCTGTTCAATGCTGCTCTGCCTCTGTATCTATTTTTTAAAAATATTTTATTGATTTTTTACAGAGAGGAAGGGAGAGAGATAGAGAGTTAGAAACATCGATGAGAGAGAAAACATCGATCAGCTGCCTCCTGCACACCTCCCACTGGGGATGTGCCCACAACCAAGGTACATGCCCTTGACCGGAATCAAACCTGGGACCTTTCAGTCCACAGGCCGACGCTCTATCCACTGAGCCAAACCCGTTACCGCTCTGTATCTATTTGTGTTCATCAGTTTATAATGGTCTTTATTATCCATAAATGAGTGAGATCATGTGGTATTTTTCTTTCATTGACTGGCTTATTTCACTTAGCATAATGCTCTCCAGTTCCATCCATGCTGTTGCAAATGGTAAGAATTCCTTCTTTTTTACAGCAGCATAGTATTCCATTGTGTAGATGTACCACAGTTTTCTAATCCATTCATCTGCTGATGGGCACTTAGGCTGTTTCCAGATCTTCGCTATGGTAAATTGTGCTGCTATGAACATAGGGGTGCATATATCCTTTCTGATTGGTGTTTCTGGTTTCTTGGGATATATTCCTAGAAGTGGGATCACTGGGTCAAATGGAAGTTCCATTTTTAACTTTTTGAGGAAACTCCATACTGTCTTCCATAGTGGCTGCACCAGTCTGCATTCCCACCAGCAGTGCACGAGTGTTCCCTTTTCTCCACGTCCTCTCCAGCACTTATCGTTTGTTGATTTGTTGATGATAGCCATTCTGACAGGTGTGAGATGGTACCTCATTGTTATTTTGAAGGGTTACTTTTTTATATGTACCAATCAATAGATTTTCAAATGCACACCTGTCCGGGGGAGGTTGGCTAGATACCCCAAAAGCCATCTTATGCATGAACAACTATTGTCATTGGTCTGTCCATTTGTCCAAAACCTACTTTCTTTCAGCCCAGGAAGAACCGCTGAGCCAGGTTGGGATCTTGAGATTGGCTCCTATTTAAAACAAATTGGATTTTAAGATTTGAAACACATTTTAACGGAATTTTGGATTTGAATACATTAATTTGCACATGCAATTGTACTTAATTTGAATGTAATAAATAATTAACTCAAGAGTCTGTATTTGAACTCTGGGCAGTAACAGCAGTTTTTAATTTCCAGGCAGTCAGTGAGTGACGATAAACTCCATTAGCTGTTGCTCACTGCTTTTTCCCACACTTCCCTTCTGTATGCCGGTATCACTCTTAGCTGTGTTGGCTTGATTTTTCAACAGCTGGTGCCAGCTTTTTCACCAAAACCACCTGAGCAACGTTGTGGTTTTTGTACTGTGGAGACTGAGTCAGCTACACATTTCCTGGTTCTACTTGGGTTTGGATTTCCCTGAAAGGCATTCAGACATGTGAGTTAACAAAACTTTATACTGAATCCGGTCCTCCCACCCAGGCATTAGTGCACAGGTCCCAAACCATTGCTCCTGGGTGACCTGATTGGAAAAGTAAAAGGGTTGTGGAAAATGGAAGAGACTAAGATGCAGAAATCTCATTTGGAGGTTGGGTTTGTCTATGATAATCTAGGCAAAACTTTTATTCCCAGATTGCAGTCTGTAATTCCCAGGTTGATTTTGTCTTATTTTATTTGGGCTGTGGTGTTTTCAAAAATTGTAAAATTTATGTAAAGTCTGAATCTCTTGACAACATCACAAGATTGGGCCCCTTAGAACAGCACCTGGAGCTGAATAGCAGCTGTCATCTTCACAGGAGACGTGTGCTCTCCATTCTCCCACAGCCTCCACCAGTTTCTACTGGACTGGCTCATGTATTGGCCCCTGCGGGCACTTCAGTTGGTGAGCCCTATTCAATCTCCTTGGGCGTCCATTTTCTTTTGTGCTTCATTTCTTGAATGCTACCTGTGTGCTCAGCCTACATCAATCATGCTGCGTGCGTCATCTTTAGTTCTCACAGTGGTCCTGTAAGAGACAGATATTTTATTCCCATCTTATACATAGGGAAACGGAATGATTTCCCCAAATTACAGCGTGTGGAGCTGGAATTGCAGCCGGGGAGCCGGTGGCTGGAGCTCTCAGCCGCTTGGCTTTGCTGTGTCATCTGCCCTGACCTACCTGGCGCGCTGTCCGCTGCAGTAACAGATTTGGGAGTGCTTTGGAAACATAAGGGACTTTTTAAAGTTAGACATTTCTGTAGTGTGTGTCTTACTTGCAACGTGTAATCAAAGAAGCAAAGAAAATTTCTGGGGTGGGATGAATGTAACTTCAGCTACCTCGTTACTTTACACATGAAGAAAGCAGTCCTCCTTTTACAATGCAAGCAATTAGGTCCAGACCTTCTCTAGCACTGAGCTGACAATGAATAAAAGACCAGGTTTTATGGTATTTTAACTGCTTTCAAGTATTGTTGTAAAAACCTGTTACGTTATTTGCAGAAATTCCGTTGCCTTTTCCATCATCTGATTTTCTAGCTGATATCATTGGGCTGCAGAAGAAACGAACAGCTGGGTGTCTGCCCAAGAAAATCACAGGCATGGCGGTGACTCTGGTTTGATTTGTTCATTCTAGAAGGCATTGAGTAGATTTATCAGTCATTTTTATTCTTGCAAGCACCAAAGCTAACCTCTAACTAATTAAGCAGGAAGCAATTTTTTAAAGGGAAAAATAGGCAATATCCAGGGAGATTAGACAACAGAAATCACAGCTAGCATTTCATGCCTCAGAGCCATCTGGCTATGTTAGAGTTCAGGCTTTCTCTGGTGATCACTGGCCTTGGACTCTTAGCAATTACTGTGAATACTTTTTAAACTGTCACTGGGTCTTTGTACTTCCAAGTGCACAGATGGGACTGACGTAGAGGCCACCTTATGACTAAGGGACACTGTTCCTCTCACAGTGGAGAATAAGCAGGAGGTTTCGATGCTGGCCAGCTGAGAGATACATGTCCATGATAGCAATGCTTTCCAAACTGTGGGCTGTGTCCCATGAGCAAATTATAGCTAACCTGTTTTGGGGCGGGAAGGAGGTGAGCGGTGGAATAGAATAGAACTTATCAGACTTCATTACACATAGTAAGGTACGTGTTGTTCAGTGATGCTCTTTCTGTTTTCCCAAATAGTTGAATAGTTGCACTCAAGGGACGTGGAAAAGCGGTGAGGAATAACCAGTGATTCCTTCCATCTCCTCCAGGACTGTGCTTCCTACCACCCTCTGTCTCCAAGGCACCTAACTTCCTACCCGCCCATTACTTTCCTGCCCAGTAGATGCCCTCATCTGACTTGGAGCTGTGTTTGCTTGAACTTGAACTGTATTATAAACATTTTTGAGTAAATCACAGAGTAGTCATTATGAGGTTCAAAGCTTATGTAAAAACGGCGAGTTGTGAAAGAAAAGATATCAGGAAAAATAAATTTGGTATGACTGCAGATGTTGGGGATGATTGGATAAGGAGGGAATGGTGAGAGATAAGGCTTGAGGGGTAGGTTAAAGCCATGTCCTATAGGTGGTAAAGGCCATGGGAAGGACTTTGGAGTTTATCATGTAGGCATTGAGGAGTCAGAGTTTATGGCTATTTCTCTGTCTCCTTAGAGATTTTCCTTTGTTTTCTCATCTTAAATAGCAAAGTTGCCAAGGTATCATCTATAGCAGTGATGGCGAACCTATGACGCGCGTGTCAGAGGTGACACGCGAACTCATTTTTTTGGTTGATTTTTCTTTGTTAAATGGCATTTAAATATATAAAATAGATATCAAAAATATAAGTCTTTGTTTTACTATGGTTGCAAATATCAGAAAATTTCTATATGTGACACGGCACCAGAGTTAAGTTAGGGTTTTTCAAAATGCTGACACGCCGAGCTCAAAAGGTTTGCCATCACTGGTCTATAGCTCTCTGATCTTCTTTCCAAGATTATATAACACTCTTCTGTGGATAATCCTATATTTTTACCTCTAGGCCTGCTGTCCCAGATTCCAGGCCTGCATTTTTGATAGCCTGCTGGATGTTGCTACTTGGATATTTCTCAATCATAACATAGCAAAAAGCATTTTTCTCACCGCTGAATAATAGGCTCCCATCTTCTAATCCCCTTTTCTGTTGGTACCATTTTTCTCTTAAGGCATCAGTATATGCCACTTCCCCTCCCAGGAACTTTCTTCTGTTCCCCATCATGTCTTGAATGATGGCCTAAAGTGCCGACTCTTGAGCCAGACATGCACAGTGGTCTACAATTTACTTTTACGCTCTTCTCTCAGCTTTGTTACCTGTGCTGCTCTCCTACACAGATTTTTTGTTTTCCCCCCAACTGGTCTAGTTACTGTCATACCAACTGTGCTTTGTATATTTCTGTCTTGCCTGGAATGCCTCTTTCTACTTAGGAGACCAGCTTTTTTGGTTGCAAGGACCAGAAACTCATTCAGGCCACCTTAAGTGAGAGGGGCATTGTTGGAAGGAAACCGGTGCTAGGAAGCCATCAGGAGTCTGAAATGCCTCGAGTGAGGAGCTGCTCGCTATCCCTCTCAGGGGCTGTGTGCGGGGCCAGCTCAGCCAAGGGTTCGGTGAGCCTGAGGGGGGTGGGCAGCGAAGGATGTAGAAAAGACAGACAAAGAGAATAAGCTGGGTCTAGGTGGTTCTCCTGTGCCTGGCTGAGGCCACAGAGAGAGACCCAGAGGCAAGCTGAGCCTTTATTTTATAGCCAGAGGTAAACAAGGTAGTGGTCACCATAGTTACAAAGTTTTTGTGAGTTTCACTTGTTTTGGCAGCACTTGCTGCATCTCCCTCAGCCCATTAGCTACCCAGATAAGATCTAGGGAGCATCATAAGGTCAAGCTTAATTATGCTAAGAGGGCTGTGCCCTCTAAGCTGGGACTTGTTTGTGGCTTTGCCAACAGGTCAGTTCCAGGCTTAACCCCATAGCCGCGCCCTACAGGGCCGCTTCTCTTTTCTGTTCTCTTCTAACTGGTCAGTTTTCTGCCTTTCCTGGTTCAATTCTGGAAGCAAGCAGTCTGACCAGCTTAGTTGCCATTGTCACTTTTGAACATGTCCTAAGCTAGGCTGGTGCTTTAGTAAGTGGCTAAGGTTGGAGTAGATTTTGCTAGAATGGGCTGTTTGGAGTGACAGGCACTATAATGGATGGGTCTGATATACCAATTATATGAATTCTTCCTTCAAGACCCAACTAATCTTTTTTTCTCTCGAACAATCTCTGACCACCCCAGCCAGTGTATTCTCTTCCTTTTCCTTTTGTAGCTGTTGTTATTATAGGCTGTTTGGAACTTGTTTTCTCTTTGTGTTCCTATAACTGTATTAGAGTGCAAGCTCCTTAAAAGTTGGGCTTGGGTCTTGCACATCTTTTGATTTTCTCCATAATTACCCTTCACAACATTATGAGCCATGTCCTCTGAGATCTCTTAAACATAAACTGAATGGAATACATTCAAATGTCCTTCTCGTTTCAGGGGTTTTACATTCTGCCAGTTAAAAAGTCAGCATCAACCTGCAGAATGACCCCATCATTCAAAAGTATGGCTCTAAGAAAATGGGCTTGACCGATGCCTGCTCACTAAGGAGGAAATGAAAAGATTTCACTTTCCAGTACAAGGCTGGTTTAGATCTAATTTGATGTTGGTAACAATGTAAGAATATCTAGCAGTTTATTTAAAAACACTAGAGGCCCAGTGCACAAAAATTTGTGCACTCGGGGCGGGGGGTGTCCCTCAGCCCGGCCTGTGCCCTCTCGCAGTCTGGGACCCCTCGGGGGATGACCACCTGCTGGCTTAGGCCCGCTCCCTGGGGGATTGGGCCTAAGCTGGCAGTCAGACATCCCTCTGGCAGCCTGGGAGCCCTTGGGGGATGTCCACTTGCCAGCGGGGAGCTGATGGCTGTTTGCAGGCTGGTCAAGGCCCCCTCCACCCCCCCGCCAGTGGGGACCCTCACCCCATGGAGGTTTGGCCAGCCTGGGTGAGGGGCTGATGGCTGTCTTCAGGCTGGCCACACCCCCTTTAGGGTGGGGGGTCCCCACTGGGTTGCCTGACCAGTCTGGGTGAGGGGCTGAGGGCTGTTTTCAGGCTGGCCAAGCCTCCTGGCGACAGAAGCTCCCAGCCTCTCCTTTTTTTCTTTTTTTTTTATTCTGGGATTTATTTACCTTCTATAATTGAAACTTTGTAGCCTTGAGTGGAGCTCAAAGCCGGCCAGGGTGGGTGGGAAGCTTGGCTTCCTCCATCGCCAGGGGCAACCCAAGCCTCCTGCTCGTTCCAGCTCTGTGGCCACGGCCGGCTGAAAGCAGGTATCTGAGGTTTATTTATCTTCTATAATTTAAACTTTGTTGCCTTGAGTGGAGCTCAGAGCCAGCCACGGCAGGCGGGAAGCTTGGCTTCCTCCATCACTGGAGCAACCAAGCCTCCTGCTTGCTCCAGCTCCGTGGCTGCCGGCAGCCATCTTGGTTGGGTTAATTTGCATACAGTCGCTCTGATTGGCTGGTGGGCATGGCTTAAGGCGTAACAAAGGTATGGTCAATTTGCATGTTTGTCTTTTATTAGATTAGATTACTGTTGAAAGTTCATTTTTGAGGGGCTGCTTTCCAAGTGACTTGTTCTATCTTCTGTTAATGGGGAATTGAAACATTTCCTACAGTGTAGGATGTGTACCATGGTTGGTAAAGTGTTGAATTGAGGTAGTACATGAACATGACCTTAACTAGCATTGAAATATTTAATCTGAAAGTTATTCCTTTTTCGGTTTTCTTTCATTTCTTCTTAGTATATTACAAAGTCAGTATGTCTTTAACACTTCTCCAATACTTCTAAGCCACACCACCTCCATTTTCTTCAATGAATAGAGCAGGTCTGGATTAGGTTACGTAGCAGGAATTGAATAAAAGTGATTTGATTTCTTTTTTTTCCTTTTTTTTATTGCTTAAAGTATTACAAAGGGTATTACATATGTGTCTTTTTTTCCCCCCACCCTTGACAATCCCCTGGCCTCCCCTACCCCCCAGTGTCTCATGTCCATTGGTTATGCTTATATGCATGCATACAAGTCCTTTGGTTGATCTCTTACCCCCCTCCCTCCTGCCCCCCAACCCACCCCGGCTTTCCCGCTGCAGTTTGACAATCTGTTTGAGGCAGCTTGATTTCTTTTTTTAAAAATTTTATTTGTTAATCCTCACCTGAGGATATTTTTTCCATTGACAGAAAGAGTGGAAGTAAGTGGGGTTGAGAGAGAGAGAAAAACATTGATGTGAGAGAGACACATGGATTGGTTGCCTCCTGCACCTGCTGGGGATCCAACCTGCAACCCAGGTAGGTTCCTATGACCAGGAATCGAACCCAAGACCCTTTGATGCACAGGCCAACACTCTATCCATTGAGCATCACTGGCCAGGGCTCATTTTATTTTATTACCTCTTAATCACAACAGTGATGTTAAATTTCTGTGTGTGTGTTTTTTTTTTTTAATAAAACAGCTCTGTTGAAATATAATTAACCTACCATACAATTCACCCACTTAAAGTCTACAGTTCAAAAAAATAAAAGTACGCAGTTTAATAGTTTTTACTATGTTTTTCAAGAGTTTTATAGCCATCAC